GCCAGCTTTTGAAGTTCTCTGCACGTGTTAGTTGAACTTGGCTGAACCACAGCCTGTTCAAATGCATAAACTAGATCAGTACTGGCTCTGATGTGTTGATTTTGAATATTATCCACTTGCATTTAATTCTTGAAGGAATTAAAGCTGTACTGAGTGATAATTTGGTTATCGGTTGGAAACGTTGTAGGAAATCTGAACTCTTAGTCTGGTATAGTTTATAATACTCCAATTTCAAATGGAGTTGTTATGGTGTGTTATGAAACCCTCTATGAATTATGTAAGGCTTTGTCGCCATCTACTGGTCGTTCTCGCGCAGTACATTCTAGAAAAACAGGATTCATGACAAACTGTTTGTAGCACAAATAGTTTAACTGTTTATTGCACTTTATTCTTCTAGTTATTTAATAGCGACTAATGAATCGGAAGCCTCGCACATTAGCACGTTTCTATAACTGACCAGTTTAAAAAAATAACCTGAATGTATTTTAGATTTTTTTTTTTTTGCATTGATCTTAAATGTCTTGTATAGTTGTTAAATACTGTACTTTGTTCACCAAAAATAGTAAATCAAAATATAAATGTATAGTGACTGAATATATCAGATATTTGCCAAAACGTTCACACTATCTTGCACTTGCAAGCACTGGTATTTTCACTGCTAATGCAAGTTTAGTTGCTTCCTAATGTAAAAGCAGTCTAATATTGTTTCGTATGACTCAGTAATGTCAAACTTGGTTCTATGCCAGTGTTTTGATATACATTCAGGGAAAAAACACCTTGTCAAAGCACTGTAGAAATCAAGGTCATTCTATGTACTTGCTGTATAGAAACTTGTTGACCTATAACCTTGCAAACCTATGAAAGGGCCGTGAACTGTTGTGGCTTATGAAGTGGATGATTCGGGTTATATTATAGGAATTTGTGTTTGTTTAGACTGAGATGACTCACCTTAGCAGAAGTTTGTGTAAAAATGTGCCTTGACCGCTTTTGAGGTTCAGGGTTGTGCATGTAACAATCATAGACTGTATAAAAACATTGACGTAGTGTCCGTGACGTCACCCGTAGTTTTCTGAAGAGCGTTTTTGAAGCTCAAAGTGGGCGGAGCAGGCCGTCGCCATCTTGGCAGCGCGTCACTCCCGGATAATCGAAAATGGGCAAAAAGGCGGGAGCTGGTTGCTGAAGCCACGCCCACCTAGCTCGACGGCAGTGTCAGCAGTGGCAATCCACCTGTCACTCAAGTGGCCACGCCCTTAATTATGCAGAACTTTAAGGCTTAATATAATTTAAACGGATGAGTTATAAAAAAATTCACCCCCCTCACAGTTGTCATGAAGGGCACAATTAGCTATATAGACCAAAATCATTTTTTGAACCAGGCTGTAAACATGTTTTTTTCTGCTGTAAATTTGGGCATTTTAACATGGGGAGTCTATGGGATTGACTCCCTTTTGTAGCCAGCCTCTAGCGGCCACTTGACGAATTACAGTTTAAGTCACTTCCGCTTGGGTAACAATATAGCATTGGACGCCTTGCAAATAAATTACTCAGGCAGTAGGTGGCAGTAAATACTAATGTTAGAGGTCTTTTTACTCGTGTTTTCTGCAGAGTTTGGCTTCAGTGCCACTGAATGTGAGTTTGCAGTTTGTATTGAATGTGATGCAATACAAAGACTGCATACTAGGGCTGTGTTCGAAGCATCGATACTGTCACATACTTCTTGACGATACAGGTATCGATACAGCTGTGTCTCTATTGATATCGCAGCAGTGGACCGCGCTTTACCCATAATCCCACCGGTCACAATAGTGGCCGGTTAGAAGGTTTTCATTGATAAAGCTCTAAAAATGTTATTGACTGGTGTTTGAATGCATTTCCTGGAAATATGGAAAAAATAAAGGGTCTCAATTAAATATGTGCAGTGTCACATGGTTAGTGCAAATTGTCACATGACCAGGGCAGTTTATTTCATGTTTGCTCCATGAGAAGATGATGGCTGCATCAAAGCTCCAAAACAAAAGGCTATAAAGTATCTTAACAAAGATATGACAAAGATATTTGGGACATGTTATTTTTAAGGTGTCTAGCATTAATATATGAATTCACAATAATTCAGTTTTGTTGAGTGTGGTCATAGAATGAGGAAACATGTTGATGGCAACAATAGTGACCGGTGAGATAACATTGCATTTAGGTATACATATAAATCCAATTGCAGTTGTTAGTGAAGGCTGCACTAAAATGTTACAATGACAAAGTTACAGTGAATATTGCACTAAATTAAAAGTTCAAGTGTTACAAATAAGTTACAATATTGATGTTGTAATACTGGTAGCACTAATATAACAGTTTTATGATATACACTACCAATCAAAAGTTTTTGAACATTAAGATTTTTAATGTTTTTTAAAGAATTCTCTTCTGCTCACCAAGCCTGCATTTATTTGATCCAAAATACAAAAGCAGTAATATTGTGAAATAATTTTACTATTTAAAATAACTGCTTTCTATTTGAATATATTTTAAAATGTAATTTATTCCTGTGATTTCAAAGCTGATTTTTTTTAGCATCATTACACCCGTCTTCAGTGTCCTTCAGAAATCATTCTAATATTCTGATTTGCTGCTCAAAACACATTTATTTTTATTATGCTGACAACAGCTGAGTAGAATTTTCTCAGGTTTCTCTGATTAATAGAAAGTTCAGAAGAACAGTATTTATCTGAAATAGAAATCTTTTGTAACATTATAAATGTCTTTTTATTTCAGATAAATGCTGTTCTTCTATTCATCAAAGAATCCTAAAAAAATTTACTCAACTGTTTTAAATATTATTATTAATAATAATAATAACAAATGTTTTTTGAGCAGCAAATCAGAAAATTAGAATGATTTCTGAAGGATCATGTTACACTGAAGACTGGAGTAATGATGCTAAAAAAATCAGCATTTAAATCACAGGAATAAATAAAATATATTCAAATAGAAAGCAGTTATTTTAAATAGTAAAAATATTTCACAATATTACTGTTTTTGCTGTATTTTGGATCAAATAAATGTAGGCTTGGTGAGCAGAAGGGAATTCTTTAAAAAACATAAAAATCTTACAGTTCAAAAACTTTTGACTGGTAGTGTATCTGTTACAATAAAGTAACAATTTTGAAATACGTTGATGGTTGTATTTATTTATTTATTTTTTTGGTTGTATTTTTCTTTTATCTCAGTATTCCTATCAGTGTTGTATAAGGGTTTTTACGCATAATAGTAACCCTAGAATGTGATGAGACGGAGTTTAAAATAGCTGGGCTGAGATATATAAAAACTTTATAATTTTTTTTTTTTAGAAATATGTTAATTGAGTATTCACATTATCCCATAAATACAATTTTCCCCCCCCCCCCCCCTTCAAAAAATCATATAATATATAAAATATATAATAATTTCAAAGGGTTACTAATGACATATCATTTGGATATTTTCATGTCTGGTAAAATTTTAGGAATAAACTGGTTCTTTTGAATACAAGAACAGCGATTAAAACTGAGTGGGAAAAGTGCAAGGTTTCTTAAAAATAATGAATAGAGTATAATATATAGGCTCCAACAAGGTTTAATCTGGCAGCAGAGGAAAACAACCGGGGTTGCCTGATATAAAAATACGTAATCCTCGACACAGAGCTTCACACTTGCGAAATACGGAAAGATCTGCTAAATGTGGCACTTATTTTTGTCAACCTGGCAACCATGTGCACGCACTCTCTCTCCGCTGTGGATAAAAGCGCTGGCTTTCTGAAAACACCGGTAAGCTTGCAGTTTAGCCATCTCCTCTTCGATATTCTATTCTCAGAAAAGTGTAATTCATCAAGTGTTCATTTACGAGAGAGAGAGAGAGAGAGGCTGTGTATGTATGAATTACCTCAGTTTTTGCCGCGTTTCAGATCTTCAGCAGTGAAGCTATTTTATTGATAAAATTAAGTTAAATTGAATTGATTAAATTTAAATTGAGGTAAAATTTAGTTCAGTCACATATCGTATCGTGGCCTCTATCGTGATACGTACCGTATCGTGACTTTGCTGGCGATACACAGCCCTACTGCGTACTAAGTAATGGCAATAAAAGTCTTTCAATTGACTTGTCCTCGTGTGTTTAAAGGAATCACAACACGCAATGTGACCAGTGTAGTCTGATTCACAAATAAATGACTCGTATGAGCCGGTTATAACATACAGCACCACCAGTGTAATCCGATTCCCGAATAAATGACTCTTCTGAATCGGTTCTTTTTAGTGAATCAAAAACAAAGTGTCATTTGATTCTTGAATAAAATACTCTTATAAGCTGTTTCTTGTATTGAATCATAAATGAATGAATGAATGAATGAAAAAAATAAAACGTGGCCAATGTAGCCTGCTTCCCGAACTAATTGACTCTTATGAGCCGTTTTTTAGTGAACCAAAACCATAGGCCTACAGAGCTGTCAGTATTATCCATTTCCCGAATAAAAGACTCAGTTAATGAAATGCTCAAAAAGACGAGTGACCCGTTTGAATCATTTTCAGAAATTTAGAAATTCTGGACCTTTCAAAATGGTTACTGAATCAACATCAGACTCTATTAGGCTACTAAACTGCTACTCTACTATAATGAATTTACATGAATTTTTTTTTTCTATCAGTTTCATTTATTCACTTAAATCATTCCTACAAATGCATGAATGTCATTCATTAGATGAAGTGTTTGTATTCTGCTCAATTTTTTTTCAGAATTAACTTCACTTTTCTTCGTTTTTGCTCACCATACATCTTGTCTTATTTTCAACACGATAGACCTAATTATTATGTTTATAATGTCAAATCTTACAAATGTAGTTTTGTGAAATATTTTTGTTTTACAGGTGTGCTTGTATTGTTTTTCTTTATAATGAATCACACTTGCGTTGATATCTTTTTTTAGCTAATACAATGACATTCATACTTAATTGTGCAAATACTGTTTGTGGCTGCTGTAAATTCATATGAATGCAAATGTATAGTCTTATGAATAATTTTACTGCACATGTTTTATTAGGCACTGTTTATCAGTATACCCTCTAAAAATCACAAAACCATCTCTAATATTAAATGCATTTCATTCTCATTTGGTTTAATTGTTCAGTGCTGGAGATGAAAGACTATATAGCACAGGGCAATATTTGTGGTACCATACATGCAGAACTAGTCATGATGTTAAAATGACAGTTGTTGAATGTGAGATATTTCACTCTTGGTCCTTCTCCTCCCCGTGTGTGATGATGTAGACCAGATTCTTATAGTCCACATTACCTGCAGCGTCTGGAGGAAAAGCACTAAACATCTGCTCCGTCTGAGGAAAGATGGATGAAAAATAGCATTATAGTATGTATAGTATAGTGTGTGGTTTACGCAGTATAACATTCGCTAGTCATGTTCATAATCTATAGATAAACACAATATAATGTCATCACCTCTCGCTTTTCTATTTGCATAGAATATAAAAGTCATTGTGACATACAGCACAGTGCTGTCAAGGACACGGAGAGCTGAAGCGTTAGACATAAAAGAAATAATCTCAAGATGTCAAACCTCTTCTGAAGAAAATCGGTCTGCTTGCGTTGTCAACATCCGTGCCAAACTGCGACGAGAGACAAACTTCAGTTTGAGTTTTTGAAATAATCATATTACTTCTGGCAAACAATTAACACGCTCAAAAATGTTTAGGCATGAATTTAAAGTCCCCATGAAATCAAAATGAAAGTTTTTTGGGTGTTAGTATCAATATGTTAGTCTTAAGGTTATCTATAAGGCAGTGTGCTCCAAAACAGTGACAAAATTCGCATTTAGAAGATATAAGCATTCAAAGCTTGCAGTTCGTCACTTCCGCCAAAACGGCTCAACGATTTTTTTGACGTCACATCGTACTTCAGCTTCTCATCAAACGTTCTGTCCAATCAAATGCTCTCTAGAAGCCCCCTACACTATAAAATAGACGCTGAAGCCGCGGCTGAAATCGGTCACTTGTCCACAGAATTAGTATTTTCTGTACAGTGAATGGCACGTAGTGCACTATATAGGGGACAGGGAACGAGTCAAACAGTGTAAATATGCTTTCCATTGAGGAAAAAAAGAAGTCTGGTTTCGCGCTGCGTCACGCTAACCGCGGTGCGCACACACACAATGTATCGGAGCTATTTGAATTCTACACAGAATGCTATAGTTTATAGCAATATGGATGAGATTGTGGCTGGCATACCCTGTCAAATGCGGCTTTACGGAGCTCAACGGCTCTGAACGGCTCTAGCCCAAGCTGTGATATAAACGAACGCTATTGGCTATTTTAAAAAGGGGCGGGGCTGCTTGATATGTCCCACCCTGTCTTCCTGTTTCAGTTAAAATGACGTCAACACAGAGTAACACTGCCTGTTTCTAAGCATTTCAGGGGACCTTTAATATTTTAATTGCATTTAAAAATTTCCATTCATTTGGATTACACAGTTAAACTAATAAACCTAATATGATGCAAATTTTCAGTCATATATAAATGAAACGGATATGACTTCTGCACTCAAAAACATCACAGCATAGCATATTTGGTTTTGAAATCTATTTGATTTTATTTAAATAATCAGGTTTTTAAGCATTTATTCAAATTGCTTAGAATGAGCATGAACGTTGAGAAAACGTATTTATTCAGTTAAAAACTGAAAATGGTTCAAATATGGCTAGCTGTGGAACAAGCAATATTTCATTAGTTAAAACGTATGATATTGAAACAAATCGGATTTATTGATGCTAAATATATAAACCTGCTTATTGTGTTTTCAAACCACATTCAGCGTATTAATACTATTACAGAAATCTGTCTGACTGACAAATATGCATCACATTTTATGTTAAAACTGTAATACAAACTGAAGAAAATTTTATATGCAATTAAAATACAAAAAAATGTAATTTAGGCCAAAATATTTTTTTGAGTGCACATGCATGCATGATTTGAACAGTCTATATGTACTGCATCTATTACTTCAGTAGCTTGTAATGTCATAAGCTGCCAAACAAAGCAGAATCTCTGGAGAAATGGAATTACAGAGAAACAGGGCAGACTGTGTTGTTTTAATGGTACTCACAAATCCTTCCTCAAGGTCCCCTTTCCCTCTGGGTCGAACACTTTAAAGGCATTCAGAATGGTCTCCTCTGCATCAGCACCTGTTTTTTTTTTTTTTGAAAGGGCACATAGAAAACTGACTAGAGAGCTGACTGTGTTTAAAATCCTCCAAGAATGCAATAAGACATTCTTTGTACAGGATTCCTAGTGGAATTTCTATCACAGTTTGGGGCCGATCTTATGGGAATCATCATACAAGAGCTTCCAGAACATATAATTCCCTATAGGCCTATTACGATTCCCAATAGGATCAAATGCTTCTGTTGGACTTCAAAAGGAAAGGAAATCCCTGTGTGATTTCTTGTCCACTCATAGGACTTTATTCCAAAACACCTAGAGTTTTGTTTAAATGAAATACAATAAGTTTTTAAGAATAAAATTTTTATGTTTTTGAAAGAACCTCTTTCGCTCACCAAGACTGCATTTATGTTTTAAAAAATACAGTAAAAATTGTACTATTTTAAAATAGTATTAAAATGTTAAATAACTGTTTTCTATGTGAATATATTGTAAAATGTAATTTATTTCTGTGATCAAAGCTGAATTTTCAGCATCATTACTCCAGTCTTCAGTGTCACATGATTCTTCAGAAATCATTCTAATATGCTGATTTGCTGCTCAAGAAACATTTCTGATTATCATCAATGTTGAAAACAGATGTGCTGCTTCATATTTTTGTGGAAAC